TAAATATGATATTTAGGGTATAAATATAAGATTTAGGGTAATAATATAAAGTGAGATAATTATACGATTGGATAAAATAATGATAATCAGGTAATAAATTATAAAAATTAAGAAAAAGAGAATTTCGCATAATCAAAGAAAGATTATCGAATTAGAGAAATTTATGTTATTACGGTAACAATAGTCAAAGAAATAAAACTAAGTGAGAGAAAAGATACTTGTATAATTAGAAAAGGAATCAAAAGATTACTATTATTATAATAATAAGCTTATTTTTCAAACAATTCAATCTGTAACTAATCGCAAGTCAACTAAAAATCATTTATTTCAATTTGAGAGAGCAGGTCCTTTTATATATGTTTTTGAATACAAAAATTACTATAGTATTACTAATTAATACTATTTAATATACATATTTTTAATTTCAGATTAAGATTTTCAGATTAAGATTTTGAAATTAAGATTTTGAAATCAAGATTTTGAAATCAAAATTTTTGTGTAATATAAATATAAAAGAAAAGATGAAATATAAAAGAAGGAATCTACAAATGTATTGACTAATTAATCTATATAGTATTACTAAATATAGTCATATATGTGGAATATTAATACTAATATAGAACATTTGTGATTAAAATTGTAAATTTCAGATTTAGGATGATAAAAATATATAGAAATAAGAAAAAAAAATAAATATGATATTTAGAATATAAATATAAAATTTAAAATAATAAAATAAAAGTGAGATAATTATATGATTGAATAAAAATAATGATAATCAGATAATAAATTGTAAAAATTAAGAAAATGAGAATTTCATATAATCAAAGAAAGATTTATTGAATTAGAAAAATTTATTTTACTATAATAATATTGTTCTTAAAAGTTAATATCTTATTGTTTTTCTATTAGTTCTTTTTTTCTTCTTTAATAATTATTTATTAATCTTCTATTATTTTAATATTGCTAGTTGTTTCTGAATAGTAACTGTCAAATATATTAGAATCCTTTCTGAATTTAAGTTATAAAAATCTTCAAGTATTATTTTGACTAAATATAATTGATGATTAAGTATATATTTGTTTTGATAAATTAAAGTATTCAATAGTCAGATTATTCAATTTTTTAATTCTTCTTTTCTGATAGTAACAAAATTTGTTTTAAAGATATCTTTAAATAGTTGTTTAGTAATAAAAGATTCAGATACTGCATCTTATTCTTGGATCTAAATAAGAAAATTAGCTAGTAATTTAGCTATTGTATCAGAAGATAAAAAGCAAATATAACAAAAATATTATTAAGAAATTTAAAGTGGTGTTTCTTGGTATTGAATTTTTAGATAAGTATTAAAATATAAGCTAATAAATTCTTCAATAAAAGTATAATAATTATTTATAAATAGAATTTAAATAAAAAAAGATATTTGAAATTATAATCCACAGAGAGAGCACCAAAATGTTATAAATTTGTTCACTAATTATTAAATTAGCTTATATACTTGAATCTGAATTAGAAAAGAGTAATAAACTGATAAAAATATTAAAATAAAAGGAAGGAGTATCTAAGATCTATGTCAATTTTTACAGAAATTATATTTACTTAAAAAATAATAATAATATGAAAGAGTTATAGGAAAGTAAAGATCAAAAAAGAAAGAAAATATAAAAGAATAATAAAAGAAATTTGAAAAAGTGATTCTCTATACTTGTATAAAGCTTTTTAGAGCTAAGATAATAATTAGTAATAACAATAACAAAAACTTTTTCACTTTGTTTTTCTTATAAATGAGGAATATTCATTAATAATCAAAAATTCAAATAACAAAAAGTAAAATATTTATAATTCAATTTTAATAATTCTAATACGGTAATTTGTTTAGCACAATATAATATAAAGCTCAATAATTTAATAACAACAATTTGTTCAGCACAATATGATCTAAAGTTTAAAATTAATAATAATGATTTGTTCAGTATAATATAATATAAAGTTATCAGTAATTTAATAAGTTCAATATGATATAAGATCACTTATATATAAAATTTGAAGTATATAAAAAAATATGAAAGATAAGAAGTATTTGAAAGAAGATTTTTGTTAAAAGAGATTTTTATTTTCAATTACAACATGTCGAGTTGAGACTCAGATAGCATCTTTATTTATATATTTTTTGAAAATATAATTTTAAATAATAATAACTATCTAATTAATAATAAAAGAATAACAAATAATAAAATAAATAATAATAAATAATAAATAATAAAAAGTAATGAAAATAATGAAAAATGTTTAAACTAAAGAAAAATAATGAAAAAATAATGAAAAAATAATGAAAAATGATAAAAAAGTAATGAAAAATAATAATTAATAATGAAAAGTAATAAAAATAATGAAAATAGTGAAAAAATAATGAAAAAATAATGAAAAAATAATAAAAATAATGAAAAATAATGAAAAAGTAATGAAAAATAATAAAAAATAATAAAAAATGATAAAAGATAATAAAATAAATATTTAATATATTATTTTTGTTATTTCTTAGAGATTATTATTTTTTAAAGATTTTTAATATTTTTAATTATTTTTCAAATTCAGAATTTTCTTGAATTTATGAAAATACTGTTACTATTATAATAATACATTCAAAAAAAATATTAAAATAAATACAAAAAAATGCAAAATTTGAATTTGTTTTAAATTTAACTCACTCATTTATTTGTCTATATCTTCATATTTATTATAAAAAAATTATATAATACTTGTTTCAGATTCTTATTTTAATATATAATATTTGTTTTAAATTCTTATTTTAATATAATTTTCTCTTATATAATATAAAAGTTATTTATCTTATTCAAATATTATTAGTTTCAATTTGTAAAAATATTATTCAGTCTAAGCATATATTTATAAAATTAATTTAAATTATAATTAATTTTATTTTTTTTGAGATATACTTTATGTTTTTTTACTTGTATTCTATTTATAAGAGCAAGAAAGTTAATTATATAATATAAAATAAATACTCTCTATATTTAACTCAAGAATTTATTGAATTATAAATAAAAAAACAAGTATAAGAAAGATATTTGAAAATTGATTATGAATTAACAATTTCTTGACAAGTAACTACTGATATATCTCAACAAGTAACTGTTAGCATATTATTATTAACTTTTAATGTAAAAGATATAGCAATATCAATTAATTTATATAAAAAATACTTTAATCTAAGTAGCTTAACATCTTCGATATCTGAAAAAAAAGTAATATAGATATTTATGAATGATACTTATTGAATAATAATATTAAAAGAAATATAAAAACTGATAATCAAGAAAAATTTTTAAATTAATTGGATTTATATAATGATATTAGTCTTATTTTATCCAATTTATCTAATAATAATGAGTTTTTATCATATACGATGAACTCATCAACAAATTCATTTATATTTTTGTATTATTTTGCAAACTAGTACTCTTGATAGATATATATACTCTAAATTTAGACATTATTATATATAATATAATATAATATGATTATTATTATTTTAACATATAAATAATTATCAGATTCTCAAAATTTGAAATCTGATGTTTACAATAAAAAAGTATAGCAAACTTTGAATAATAATGAAGGCAATAGATTTTTTTGTGATGATACTTTGAATGGTTATTTGGAATTCTTGCTAAATATCGATTGATTTAACTCTGTAAATATATATTCACTAGTGTTGGAGTGATCTATTTGATCATATTAAATCTTTCTTGCCATATTCATTATTTAAAACACAATATAATACTTGTTGAAGTAATCCCTGGATCATCTGAACTTTCCATAACAGAAATTTATTACAATTTAAAACTAATAATATATGAATTAGAGCTTATATGAAAAGGTATAACTATAAAAACTATAAAATATTTACAGGATTGCATATTTCGGAGTGCTCTGATTCTTATTGCATGTGATACACTCGTGATATGAAAGATATTTTTTTGAATTAAAATTTTATTAAGAGTTTTATTTAACTTAATTGCTTTTGTACTGTATATATCTGTATTTGCAGGTCATTCAGCAAAAAAGATTGTTATCGATATATCTGAAAATTTGAGACTTTTTTTCTAATAATCACGCAATAAAGGTAAGTTATATTAATTTTTCTGGATTTGATCAAGTATATTTCCAAATCGATAATGAAATACACAAACAACTTGTCTCTGATTGGAAAGATGGAAGTAAAGCTGAGCAGACTCATATTTTTGCAGAATACGAAATCCAATATTCGTTATTGATCATATTACCTTATATGAATCTTATACGCTTTACTATTATAGATCCTATGCACAATTTATATCTTGGAACAGCAAAAAGAATGACACATTATTGAACAGATATACAGCAATACAATACTGGCTGCTCTATGCTTTAAAAAACAGATCTCAAAGCAATTCAAGAAATTATTTACACAAATCCACCACCTTCTGATATTGATCGTATCCCACACAAGATTGATGCAGGTTTTTTCTCATTTACAGCTAATCAATAGAGCAGTTGAATATTGTTATATTCAACATTTTGTTTATGTAATTATCTTCCTGATGATTATTGACGTTATTGGCAAATATTTGTTTGCGCAAATACTTTGTGGAGGCAACAAATTATAAGTAATAAGGACATTCAAAAAGGCCACGATTTCATGTTACAATTCTTGCATCTTACCGAATCTCTTTGTGGTCCTGAGTTTATTACGTCAAATATGCATATGCATACACATCTACACAAATGCTTGGAGGATTATGATCCAATTTATGGTTTTTGGTGTTTCAGGTATGAGCGAATGAATGGAGAATTGTCAGCACTACATACCTCAAATCGGACAATACCTATCGATGTCATGAAGCTAATTAATGAACAAATAAATATATATGGCAAAATATTGAAGATTACACCAAGCCTTTTACCAACAATTACTGCTACGCTGGAACACTTACAATCACGTGCCAAGATATCAGTTGGAAGTTTAGGTATGACATCGATTCTGATACAAGCTGTGATTGATTTTTGTGAAAAAAACAATTACTAGAAGTGAAAGATTTCCTGGAGTGTCGGGCACCATCTCATATTTCACATTTTGATGACAAAACAGTACGCTTACTAGCACTATACAAAGTCTATGGATTTACCTTCCACGCAGCATGTGATCCTAAACCAGATCAAAATGCAATTTACGTGAGTGATATGATGGAACGTTTTGCCACAATTCGATTGGGAGATGAGGTCTTTGGCTCACAGTATTCACGCTCTGATTTGAGTTCTTATGTTATCGTTTCTTGTATAGATAAAATACAAAGAACTGGCGAGACTGTCAGATCCATATATCATTGGCCTGCCAAAGTTTTGTATTATTTTAAGCACCGTGTGCTTTTACCAAAGGAAATGAATTCAGATCAAATGAGTTCTATAGAACACTGCTTAGCATTTGTGGATTGGTTTGATGTATGCAATAATCTACGCGTAAAATTGACGATGGTGGAAGGGCACATGCTGGAATGTTTTGTGCAAAACTCTGGGCCAATACATTTCAAGCACGAACTGAAGAGTGTATAATTCCAGTTCATCATATTTTCTGCCGATTTCTCAAAGGAAAATATATATTACATCGAGCAGAAAGACATATAGTTGTAGTGCCTATAAATCGAAAATTTGCAATTTAATTCAAATCTGATCATTTCACAAATAAGCAATAAAAGAGTAATATCAATTTTTCCTTTCTTAAATTGAATAAAAAAACTATATGTGGTAACATGGTAATCAAACATCGAATTCTT